TGCACAGCCATCAGCCACAACCAGTGACATATTGTAAAAATGCATACATACATACATACATAAGGATCAAAGAAAGGAGGCCAGAAGTGGATTTGCTGGCAATATGTACACCAAGGACTGGATATAAAACAGATTAAACTGGCTAAGCTCCCTGTAGTAGTCAGGCACTGAACTAGACTCCCCTGCTGTGCGCTAAGCATTTCAAACACCTTGAATCAAATCTGAAATCCTGCTTGCTTCTTTTAGACTCCTAGCTGAGCTGCAGAACGGACTGCACAGGATGAAAGGGAAGAGACTATTCTGAGCTAGCTCTGGGTTGGGATATCATTCACTCAAGATGCCTTGCGTTCACCAAAACATTTTCCAGAGCAGCCTTTCCCAACCTGGTGCCCTCCAGATGTGCTGAACCATCATTCCGAGCCAGTACCGTCATTGGCCAAGCTGGCTGGGAATAAAGGGAATTACAGTCCAAACTTCTAGGAGATATCATGTCTGGGAAGGCTGATCCAACACCATCGTGCCAAAGGGCATAGAATATTAGAATGGCTGAGTTGGGAGGGGCCAGAGGGCCACTGGGTCCAACCCATTGCTGAATGCAGGATGCCCAGAGGGCTGTCCAGTTGCATCTTGAATGTCGCCAGTATGGGAGAGCCCAAACGTCCCAGGGTAATTGGTCCCATTGTATTGCCTCTCCTTCATTGTTTTGCTTCTCCTGTTTGTTAACCATGAACAACCTACAAAGAGAGTCCATGTTTGTTGTGGGCCGTGACCTTCATGAGCCGTTCATGGTTAACAAATATGGCTAACATGATTATTATTAACATGGTTTATCTGGTTGTCTGAGCCAAATAATTGAGCTCTCCACAAGTTCAGACAGGAGCCCCTTCCCAACCCTATCTGGGGATGCCAGGTGTTAAACCTGGGACTTTCTAAATAGATTGTGTGCTCTTATCTCCACCACGGAGCCTGCAGTTCTTGTATGCCTCTCTTATCCTCCATTCAAAAATTTGTAAACAGATGCCATCATGCAAATCAAGAAAAATCAATAACCACAAATGGTCACAATACCTGGCTAGAAGGCTATTTTTTAAAGCCATGGTTCAGAGCTGATGCATGTAGGAAACAACTGTGCTGGTATCTAGAGAGAAAGCATGTCTCTGGGAAATAATATATTAAGGCTACTTCTGAATAAGCCCACTGTAGGAGAAGGGTTAGATACCTTGAGCCTCTAGCCTAGGCATGGGCAAATTGTTGTCCTTACCAACACAGTCAGTGGTGAAGGATCATGGAAGCTGTAAGTCGAAACATCTGGAGGACCACAAGTTCACTACCCTTGCTTACCCCAAAGAGGCAAGATACCTGTTTGATTTGTTCACCCCCACCCCATACTTATGTTTGTTACTGGTTCTCAGCAGACATTTTGCAGATAAGGGTTTTTCAACATGGACTCCATTCTATAATTCCAAGTGCAGGATCCAGGGTTGCCTGACTCCAGCTCAAGGCTTAAAATTTTAGGGCAATGTTGACAGTCAATGAAGTCTTGGTGAAGTTGGTGGGCCTCATGTTGGGGATGGGCCAGAATTCCTCACAAGTGACATATGAAGCTACTCAAGGACACTGCATATAAGTTTTCAAGCAAATTCCCAAACACAACAGATCTATTTTCACATTCAGGTTTAAAAGAGCATGCTTAAATTAGCTTGCTGGCAAGGCAGAGAGGGTATTTCAACAAACATGGCAGTAGAATATGAATAAAGATACCAGTTTTGCAACATCATTTCTCTCTTGAATTTCTTTGTCTATATACCACAACAAACTTTTGTACAACTGGCAATCTACTACAGGGGGAGAAAACACCTAACAGAATAAACTCTGGATTTCATAACACCACGGTACAATACAAATGATAAACAAAAACATGGAGATTAGGACATAGTGTTGCCATATGGAAGGGTGTGTATGTCACTTTCCCCTGAAAAGCTAATTTAGGGCAAAGAGCTGGTATATTCCAGCCTGAAAAGAATGCTAATTAAAGATTTTACATAATATAGGCTGTTTCACAGGAATCAAAACAAAAGAGATCTTTAACCCAAAGGCATAACCTTGGCCAAAGCAAATGGAAGTGATCTTCTAAAAACATGGCAATTCTCCATCTTTGTTTAGCAAACAAAGAAAAGTCAGGTCCTTGAATGCACATATTTCCTGCTTGTATTAATGTTTGCATAAATGTTAAGTTGTACAAGGCCTTTACAACTCTAGTTATATGTATTCCTAAACATGTCAGAGCATCTTTTTTTTGTATGCAGAAAGCTACAGTATCAACCTCTTGCATGTCCAAATCCAGAGAATCAGGTAGCAGGTAATGGGACCCTAGAGATTTACTGCCTGTCAAAGTAGGCAACACTGGAATAGCAAGACAAACAACCTGATCTGTTAAGGCACCTATCTCCCTGTGTTCCTAAAAGACTTTGTAAAGCTGCTTATGTCCATTCTACAGAAAATTAAATGATAACAGAGACTGTGATCTGCCCAAATAATTTTCACAAACTCATGAACAAACTGACATATAGGCCCTGGCCATATATTTCATATATGGTATACTTTCCCCTTATTAGTACATGGAGAAAATGTGTACACTGTCACATGAGACTCACATCTTTCTTTTTCCATCTGTACTTGTGAGAAACACATTCTCAGCAATATCGTACATTACAGTGAGTACATTTTCATCCTCCAGCCATGCAGGGAAGATGTCACTGTCCTCCATGAAACAGCCCAGATTCAATGGCCAGAATGATTTGCTGTATAAAACTACATTCTCTGCTTTCTAGCTTCAATTAGAAGAGGGCACCAGCCCATGTGGTGCCAACATGATGCTCCTGGGCACCCGAATTTAACAATAAATTACACACATGGATCTCCATAAAATGCATGCAACTGTCTAGCAATTATCCATAAGGTTCAACAAAACTGGACCAAATATCCAAGTAAGTATCCATTTGAAGGTGGCATCTAGATTCCACCCATACATATAACTAAACCACTCTAAGAAAATCAATCCATTGCATATTAGGATGTGAGAGTTCATCTTTCCAATTTGATAATATTGTCTTTTAGCTCTCAAAGGAGCGCAGAGAATCAATTTCCCCTTCTATCTCTTAATTTCCATGAAGCAGGCAAATAATTTAAAAGAGTATATGTAACAGTGAATGTGAAAGACAATCCCAGCACCATATTTCTTTGTATAATACTCTCCTCCCAAAAAGAACTAACTACTGAACATGGCCAAACGAGTTTTAAAAGAAGCATAAACTGCACTGTATGACCAGGAACTAGCTAAATTAGGCAATCTCATATTAAAAGAACATTTCAGTATCCAACAGATAAAACCCGTAAGTTTTTGCTGATTAAGATGCAGACTAAGATTCACAGACATGAAAGGCAAACCCCAAAGCTGCAATCCACTGATGAGGCACATTATGGTGGTGCCCACAACAGTATCTCACATTCCCAAATGTGCTCAGGGGTCCAAAAAGTTTGGAGGCCTTGAGTCAGAGATGTTTTGCTCAGGATCCCCATTAAGTAAGAACATCATATCTGAGGATAGTGTGAGGCTTCTTTGGTAGTAGCCCCAAGTTACAGAACATGCTGCTTAGGAGGTTTGGAAAACGGGTGTAAGGCACTTCACGTGAGAGGATATTTACCTTATAAATAATTGCTGCTGTAATTATTTTTTGTAAAACTTCATTCTTAAAAAATAAGATATGCATAAATAAACATGTTGGGTACTTTGATGATAGTGTGCTAATGTTACTGTTTTTTCTTTATTATTCTTCTTGCTTAGACATTTTGATATTTAGATTAACTTCACATTATTCATTTTAATCTATTTTGAGACAATCTTGCATTAATATAATTAAGAACTTTTCTCTCTAGCACACTCTCAAAGACACATCTAAATGGGGAGAGGGGCAATATTTAACTCAACCTACACCTATCAGAACCAACTTAGAGTCATGCTGTTAGAGCCTTAACATATAGCTAACATATAAGATACAGGCATGCATTCTAGCACAGAAACTTTGAAAATATCAATTATATTCAAGAACCAATTGGTTCTATGGCCAGAGAAATTTACGTCAACTAAGTAGCAACCAAACAGCATTACAAATCCAGGTGAATTTTCTTCCTCAGTCTCTTGTTCTTCTCTAAAACTAGAGGCTTTAACAAGAACCAAGTACAATTAAAGTTGGAGCACAGCCCCTATCTGCTATTACACTAACACATGGCAGTGGTTTAGTTTCCTTTAAAAAAGACACAATAACAACAACAGCAACAATAAAAACTTCCTTTGCTTGCCAAAGAAACTTGCCCTCAGCCAAGGTCATGTAAAGTTTTGTTCAAGTTTAGAAGAACATGTCAAAGGAGAACAAAACAAAACAAAACCTAAAGCTTGTCTGAATTTGTTCTTTTCCCTCCATCTCTGCTGAATTTAAAGTTTTCAAGAAGTGTAAAAAGAGCTAGATGGATCCATGTGAGGGAAAAAAAGGGGGGAAGAGAAGTCCCTGTTTCCTGGCAGACATTTTGGCTCTTGTTTACATTTGCAGTCTGTGTTTCTCTTGTTGCAGAGCAATATGGCTGTCTGAAGAGCTGACAGCTTTGAATGCACAACCACTGCTGGCTGCAGGCTCATGTTCCCCTCCCAGTATCAAAGGTTGTGTAAAATTATGCAAACGCTGCACATACAAGGCAAGGAGTTCCTCCTCCTCCTCCTCCTCCTCACCCGGCTTGACAACTCAAGAGGCTAATTAGAGTGGTCTTTGATTTGTTGTTTAGAAATGCTTTCCCAGCTTATGGAAGAAGACTGGGGCAGTTTTGATTTGTTCGTGGAAGCAGGGAGTATCCAAGGTGTTAAAAACCACTCCAATGTAAATTCAGCCCACCAGAAAATGAACATGCCGCAAAGAACAGCGTGAACCTGAGAAGTTTGAGCTACTTACCATTTGATGGTGGTGATGGGTGTTGGGAATGTTGGTTTCTTGAAAAAAAGCACTCAGTGCTGTCTATGTTTAAGAGACAAACAAACAGAAGCTTGGGATTAGAACAAGGGGGTACAGCCCAATGGGAAAAAGTCAAGTTGGAGAACAGGGATTAGGCGCAAGTATTTTAGAAACATTAAAAAACAAACAAGACCAAGATCTGGTCACATGCTTGCTTCCACCCCACAAATACTTCAACTGAAGGCAAATAATATAACTTGACATGCATTCTGTTTATTTTTGCATTTTTCAACATTGACCAGGGACGCTTTTGAAATCCTAATATTCCTTCCTTCCTCCTCTTTTGGAGGGGGAAAGGGAAAGCAACAAATAGGAGCAACCCAGAAGGGCATCCAAAACAAATAAAGCTCCGATTGCTCTAGGCCAGAAAGATTTTCACACCCCACATTCCCCTAAGGAAAGGCCCAGAAGATAGTCCAGTAATACAGGAAAGAAAACCCCCAAGTGTAATCTGGGATGATTTGCTTAACAATCAAGACAAGAAAAGGTTAGTGCTTGATCAGTTTTAAAAACAAAACTGAAGGGGGCAGGGAGAAGGACAAGATGCATTAACTGAATTGCAGTAAAGATGGGGAACCACTAGCTTTCATTAGTATAACAGGACACACAACTGGAATGGGACAATAGTACATTTATCTGGTTCTGTTGCCTAAGGGCTGGCTGAAAGCAATCTTTTTCTGACCCAGCCTTATTTAGGGAAAACAAAGGACACATACAGAAAATGGTGTGTTTGGCCTCAACTATGTAACCAAGCTGGTGGGGGTGTCTTCAAACACAACAATAGTTACCACGTTTAACCAGACACACCATTTCCTCTACACGTACAAAAGCCCATACACAAAACACAATATGCCAGAGATACTAGCAGGCCTAGTTCAGAAACAGATCCTCCCTTCCCCCCCGGCGAATACTAGCAGAAAAAAAGCTCGGCCTCCTTGACACTTCTTTTCCAAGTCTGGCGCCCCACTCAAAAGACAAACAGCTGCGGGAGGGGGAGAGAAGAGAGAAACCGAAGGCATCTCTGTGCCCCCTAAGCACCGCAAGCATGGCCTGCTGAAGGTTTCGATTCTTCGAGCATGTTGAGTTTTCCCTGAACTCCAGGAGAAGAGTTTAAAATGGTGATTCAAAGCGACAGTCCAAAGCTGCCTCCCACAAAACATGCCGTGGTGCAACACCATGGTTCCGGTCCCCCTCCCCGCTGGCAGTTTCAGTAATATAAACATTGTCCCTCTTCTCCCCCCCCCCCCCACGCCGCCCTTCTTTTTCCCACGACCAGCAGGAGTAAGAGATTAGTCAAAACGCAAAAGCCCAGCACATTCCTAGCCCCGGAAGGCAGTTATTGTGTAGCAGGAGATCGCAGTTATTGAGGCGCTTTGAATGGATTGTTTATATGCCTATTGCCAGCAGCAATGCATCCTCCCCACTCCCGTGATATCATCGGATGTAGGGCAAGTATTTAAAGCAATTCCCAAAGCATACGCTTTTTACAATTTCCACCTCACTCTTCACTCCCAGGGAAGCAGAGGAATGCGGTGGGGGGGTCACAAAGATTCGCCCCTTCCGCCTCTTCTCCTTGGCAGTGCTCGGGGAGCCCGTGAGTAGGGGTTGAGGGGGGCACTGCGAGGGTCGCCACGCACCTCGAACTGCCAGTGTGCCGCTTGTAGCAGCTGCTTCGCTTGATCCGCCGCACAGCCCGCAGCCAGCACGAACTGGTTGATCATGACTTGATGCCGGAGCTCCTCCATATTCACCGACATGGCGAGAGAAGCGAAACCACAACACGTACAAGAGGCAGCAAGCGGAACACACTGCCTGTGGTGGTGGTAGCGGCGGCGTTAGTATGTGCTTGGGTGAGGGAAAAATCTACGAAGGATCCTTCTCCTTCTCCTCTTCCTCCCCGATTCAGCCAGCGGCTTCTCTGTATGTGAAGCCTGGAGCTGGTCGCCGTCGCCGGGTTCAAGCCAAGTCGCCTCTCGGCCTCCCCGCTTGCTTCAATCGGCGCCTGCCAGGGTATGTTGATATCGCGGTCTCTCTCCCCCCCCACCCCTCTCGTAGCTCCTCGGCAGCTACACCACAAACAACAGCGTCCGGGGGAGGAGCATGTGGCGAGAAACGAGGTGGGGGGGATGCCGGAGGTGTCTCAACGTTCGATTACACGCTTTCGCCGATCGCTGATTGGCCGCCGCGATGTTCTCTGCGTGTAGGAACGTTCGATTCGAATCTTCCAGGCGATGGATCTGTTTCTCTCTTTTTTCTCCCACCCCCTTCAGCCTCGTCGCCGGTCCGTCATTGGAGGAAATAAGCCATCGGGCTCCTCGCTTACTGGTTAGTCTCTATGTTTTGGCTGAGAACGAGCCTGCTATTGGTCTATTTTTCTCGTAAGGGAGGAGTAAACGATGCTCTTGTTTGAACTGAACTGGAAATTCTACTCCCTTTGTTGATTGGTTGTTTCTCTCTCCCTCCCATTCTTTTTTCCATGGTTGTGAGGAGAGAGAGAGAGAGAGAACACAGTAGGAAGAAAAAAGTGCGGTTCGTAAAAGCCAAGTTCATTGACGAGCTTCGCTGCAACCAGCGTGCTCAGCTGGAAAAACAAGAAAGCCATCCAGTGATTCATTTCCTTCGAAAAAGCTGGTCATCCTGAAAACTAAAGTTATGGCACAGTAGAAAAAGATATAGCTGAGGCTCAGAGTGCTGTGGGAAACAGTACTGTTTTGAAGTGCTGGAACCCTGTTCCCCATTTGGACTGATCAGGCAGGATATAAGTCAAATAAATGCTATTTCTCGAATTTTATTTTAGATCGCATTTTTTACTAAGTCATTATGGAGGAAACTGCTTATGACAACTTCCTCTTAGAATATTGCAATCTTTCAGAAATACTGAATTCAGCAGTTTCTTTTTATGAATTAACTTTTCTAGGCCCTTGAATGAATGGATGAAAACGTGACTTGCTCCAAACTTCCCAGTTGCTCTCGAGCTCAGACAATAACTTTCAGTCAGTCCCTGATGACTTCTTGCTCTATTTCCTTGGGCTGAGCTAGTTCTGTTATGCAGAATGGGATGGCAGGTGTTGGGGGGCCCTTAAAGGGGAGCAAATTACCAATGTTACCACCAAAGGACACACTTTAGACTTTCTGCCTCCAGCACCAAAATGTCATGGACTCATTTCTGCTTCTGAGACTGTCATGCACATGCTGATGTCACATGTGCATCGCCCCCAGCCCATGGAGCCATCAGAAAACCATTCTTCACGGGGGCTCCTAAAGACAATCCAGAAAAAGTCCTGAATTTGGTACTGAGGTAGAACAAGGCAGCATTAACTGGAAATCTGCACAGATCCCTCTAAACAGCAGCTCTGAGAGAATGGGGTCTCTGTTCTGGCCACAATTCAGAAACCATTTGGTGGATTCTTCATTGGGGCCCAACTACATTTTCAAGCTTCTCTTTTCAATGTCTGAATATTATTCTGCAATAAGAACAAAAGAAGTGCCTTGCTAATGAGACTAAGCACTATCTGCCTATTCAGTCAAACCACGTAAGTCCAACCACAACCAACTAGGTACCACCAAGTTTGTTTTACATTGCTGCAACACACTAGAGTAACATTTCCAGTGAATGTTGCACACACTAATAGGATTTATTTTATTATTCATCTAAAAATATATCACTTTTGTACAGATCTATACTACTTTGAACTTGTTAGGTTTATGTTTAGAGAAAGCCTAGTGGAGGTCTTCAGAGTCTTCCTGCAATTTTACCCTCCATTTGACTTGATAGTATCCATGCTCTTGATTTCCACATTCTTACTCATTAATCAAAATCATGGTAGAATTAAATAGAATGTGAAAGAGAAATCGGATGTGTTTTATAACCAGTGTAAGCTTGACTTTCATGTGATAGATTTATGCCCATGTTGATCTAAGCTTCACATGTTAAAATAACCATACAGTGTTTATTCTTGCCTTGAACTATCAAGGCACTATAAGGGCCAAAGATTCCACTTGGCACAAATGGCACCATTTTGACTCCCTACAATGTTTCCTAGATCTACTGATGGCTGGTATCAACCGGGACTGACAGGGCAGAGGCTAGGAACTGGACATTCCTTAATATTCATCTTGATCCAGTCCATGTTTTGTCAGTCTCTCTTGGAGGCCAGGATCCACCCCACCCTACTCCCCTCACTCAGGAGCAAAGCATCAATACATAAAGAAGCCAAAAGCGGAAATTCTGCCCAATCCTGTCCTACTGCACAAGTCTAGATCAATGGATTACCTGTCATCAGAACATGCTAGCACAGCTGATCCTTTGAAGATGGTTACATACATTTTCCCCCTCTAAACAGAATGAGTATCAATTAAAAGCCTTGTCTTCTGTCATAGTACCATTGAAAAACCTATCCCCAATCAGCATCAGAAGGAATACAACAATAGCCATGGAAAGAAAAGCTATGGTAACAGTACAGGTAGATGCTCCTAAAGCATTCCTGGAAATGGAAACTCCCCTGCCACCCACCAGTCACAATGGCCTGGTTTGAATGCCCACCAGGGATGAGATGCCATGGTGGCTTGTTGCAGGATCTTAGGGTAGTTTGGCAGCCAGCCCACCCCCTGTGCACCTTGCCAGGGTCAGGTGACACATCAGCCAATGCACTGTGAGGGTACCTGGGCGTATCATACCGTGTGCAAACACTGCATGCTGATGGGGGAAAGAAGCCGCCATGGCTCCTTTTCTCTGATGATTATGCAGACTTGGCCAGTGCCTTTCAGCGGTCGCGCCCATCCATGTTAGTCATGCACAGGAAGGAGCCGTCGACAAGCACTGAAAGCCAGAATGCCACGGTTATCTCACACTACCTAGTGTAATGGGTGGTGTCATAGTGAAAGCGTTGGACTAGGACCTAGGAGATCCAGGTTCTAGGCACCACTTGGCCATGAAGCTCATTGGGTGACATTAGGTCAGTCATGCCACTCAACCTAATCTTCCTCACAGGGTTGTTGTTAGGATAACATAGAAGGGAGGAGAACTTAGGGTCCTCATAAAAGGAAAAAAGGAAGGATTTCAGTAGACTTCAATTTCCCTGATATCTCTTGGGAGACCAATTCAGCCAATTCAAGGCCCTTCCAAGAGATTTCTACCATGTGTTGCTGATAATTTCCTCCAAGAGAAAGTGGAGGGAAGTGGCTATCCTTGACTTAATGCTAACCAACAGGGAAGACCTAGTGAACAAAGTGGCAACTACAAGAACTCTGGGGCAAACTGAGCATGCCATGCTTGAATTCTTGATTCTAAAGGAATTCTAAAGTCAAACAGCCAAACATGTATCCTAGATTTCAAGAAAGCCAATTTTAATAAACTAAGAACAATGGTCAGTAAAATCCTATGGAAAGGGACTGATGAGAAAAGGAGACCAAGAGGGGTGGGATTTATTTATTTTTTTAAAGGAAATTCTAAAGGCAGAATTACAAACAAGAAAAAAAGGTAGACAACAAAAGAAGAGACACATGCGGCTTCACAAAAAGCTTAGAGGTAGATGATCTGAAAACAAGAAAGGACATGTACAGGAAGTAGAAGAAAAACCAGACTACAGAGGAAGAATACAGGCAGTTAGCACAGAATTGCAAGGATGGTGTGAGGAAGGCTAAAGCTAGAAATGAACTGAGGCTAGCAAGGAATGCTAAAAGCAACAGAAAAGTCTTCTTCAAACTCATCCAAAGTAAAGACAAGAGCAAAAAAAATGATGTTCAGCTACTCAGTGCAGGTGGCAAAATGGTAACAAATGACAAAGAGAAGGCAGAAGTGTTCGATTGCCACTTTGGCTGAGTCTTTACTCAAAAGAAGGTCTATGACCTTCCTGATGTAGAGGAAGTACAGCCTGAAGGAGCAGGGTGCCAGCTCAGGATTGTTAGGCCATTGGTCAAGGATCATCTAATTGGTTTGGATGAGTTCAGATCTCCAGGGCTGGATGAACTCCATCCTGGAGTCATAAAGGAGCTGGCAGAAGAACTCTCAGAGTTCTATTATCTATTATCTAGATAATATTGTCTATTATCTTTGAGAAATCATGGAGGACAGGGGAAGTGCCAGATGACTGGAGAACAGCTAACGTTACCCCTATCTTCAGGAAGAGAAAGAAAAAGAAAAGAAAAACCTGGGAACTGCAGAACAGTCAGTCTGACATCAATCCCTGGGAAAATTCTGCAGCAATTATAAAGCAGTCAGTCTGCAAACACCTTGAAAACAATGCAGTGATTACTAGAAGCCAACATGGATTTCTCAAGAACAAATCTTGCCAGAAACAAATCTGATTTCATTTTTTAATTGGACAACCTCCCTGATGGATTGTGGGAATGCTGTGGACATAATTTACCTTGACTTTAGCACAGCTTTTTGACAAAGTGCTCTATGATATTCTGATTAGCAAATTACCTAAAAGAGGGCTAGATGGAACAATGATCAGGCAAATCCACAGCTGGCTGCAGAATCTGACCCAAAGAGTGCTCATCAAAGGCACCTTCTTAAACTGGGGAGAGGTAGCAGGTGGGGGGATACTGCAGGGTTCAGTTCTGGGCCCAGTGCTCTTTGACTTTTTCATTAATGATTTTGCTGAGGAAGTGCAGAGAACTGTGATCAGATATGTAGATGACAAAAAACTGGGTGGGATTGCTAATATCCTGGAAGACAGAAAGAAGATTCAAGGTGAAATTGATGGGCTGGAATGCTAGGCTGAAAGCAACAGAATTAAATTCAATAGACACAAATGCCAAGTTCTCCACCTAGGAAAACAAATGCATCTGGGAATAGCTGGCTCAACAATATGGCAACTGAGAAGGATGTTGGAATTGTTGTAGGTCACAAGCTGAATGTGTGTCAACAATGATGTGGCTGCAAAAAGGGCAAATGCTATTTTAGACTTCATTAATAGAAGTTTCACTTCTAAATCAGGTAAAGTACTAGTTCCCCCTTACTCAGCACTGGTTAGGCCTCATCTGGAGTACTGTATCCATTTTTGGCCACCACAGTTTGAGAAAGGTGGAGACAATCTGGAAAGGGTTCAGAGGAGGGCACTGAGGAGAGCTTGAGAGAACTGGGCATGTTTAGCCTTAGGGGAGATATGATAGCACTCCACAAGTACTTAAAAGGCTCCACAAGTACTTAAAATGAGGAAGGACAGGATCTCTTCTTGATCTTCACAGAGTACAGGACACAGAATAATGGGTTCAAGTTACAGGAAGCCACATTCTGGCTAGATATCAGGAAAAATTTCCTGACTGCTAGAGCAGCATAACAATGAAACCAGTTACCCCAGGGGGTTGTGGGCTCTCCCACACTGGAGGCATTCAAGATGCAACTTGACAGCCCTCTGAGAAGAATGGTTTAACTGGGAGTCCTCCACTGAGCAGGGGGTTGGACCTGATGGCTTTTTGACCTTTTCCAACTCTTCTTTTCTATAATGATTTGCCATTTTGCTTTTGTTTTCCTTTTAGGATTTTGTCTGAGAACAACAAAAATACATGTGTGAGGACAGAGGTCAGAGGGACTCTAAATTTGCTCCAATCCTGTTGAAAAATAGTGCTTTCTCCTAGTGGATAAGAATTGTAGACTTGAACCTGAGGGGGAGGTCTGAACGATTGGCATATGGAAGCCTTGGGAATCCACGCTTTCTCCCTTGTCTTTTCTTCTCAGCAGTGCCCTACCTCACAAAGTTGCCTGGACTAAGGAGCTAGTTTTTGCCATTCTGTACTCCTGAAGTACTTTATAAATTCATTTCTTTAAAAAGACCATACTGCTGCCTCTGAGCATAGGTTGTGCAGGGACTTAATAACACATTAGAAGTTTCAAACCCCCTGACAGTATTAATAATAAATTGTTCTTTTGCTCTACAGGTCTTATCTTGAAAGTCCCTGCATCTCATGGGGAAAACACAGCATATCCACCTGGTGGTTCGTGACTATATAGAGCTGATCTGCCAGCTTTCATCCTCAATTTGTCAGGAGATGTCACAATTCAATTTGTGACATTTGTGCTTCACTCCCACGAAACCAGGTCAACAAAGCCATGAGACAAGAGACACAAAAGTTCTGTATTACAAGCTTTTAAGCCCAATAATGGAGAACCAACTTGTTTGTGAAGGACACTGCCTCTGTTCATATGGTTAGACTTTGTTTTCTTTTGGGGGGGGGAGTTACAGGGGGAGAATGTGTAAAACAGAATTGATTTGCTGTCCTTAAACCAGCAAGAGACAGAAATGACCCAGTTTCCCTTGCCTCTCTGCCTGCTCCCATTCTCCAGTTGTAGGTTGTCTTCGTGACGGCTGGTATACATTTTTTAAAATAGCATGAAAAGACAAACCAGGCCTATATTAAGTTTGACGGCATTTGCAAACAGAGGAAAGATAATTGATTTGGAGGAACCCCAAGGCGCTAAAGAAGTTGAAAGTCATGCAAGGATTCAGATACATGTTATTATGTTGCTTAAGCACCACATCAGAGTTAAACTTCAAATATGATGAATTTCACAGATTTTACCAATATAAAGTGCTTTCAGATGAGGCTTTTATCGGACCATCACTTTCTCCTAAACAGAATTTTATGGCAAGAACATGTGGGAGAGAGAGCCAGATGCTATTCACTGGGTAACTACCCACAGTGGGTTGTGTTATGAGAACCTGGGCCACTGCCCACAGGATGGCTTGTTTGTGAGTAACAAGCCACAATATACCGGCAATGGGTTGTCATGTCATCCATACCTGGCTGTTCCAGCCAGTGCCCAAGTGGCCTTGAGAACTACCATCACTGGTTCATTCTTCTCTGTGCCAAGTCTGCCTCATTTGCAATCACCGTGGCTTATTTCCCACTTTCCCTCATTTGTTTTGTAATCACTTTTTGTGATTTGAAAATGAAAGCCATTGACAGTGCTCAAAGTTCCCAAGCTACTCTGTAAAAAAGAAAAAAAAAGGTTCCTGAGATTTGTGCAACTTTTTGTGTTTGTTTTGATTTAATATGCAGAGTTCATGGCTGCATATGTCCCTCTCAAAACACTCTGATTAACTTAGCCAAAAACCCCATTATAAAATACACTCTAAGTTTTGACAGCTGTCAAAACTGTCTGTAAACAGGGTGACTAGTACTTTTCCACTTTCCCAAATCTTGGAAATGAGTGGAAAGAGTGGCAGTCATTAAGAGTAGTGAGGTCCAAAACAAAAAAGCTAAAGGATCTTACTGTGAAGGAGGTGATCTGTACACCTGCTTCATGACTTCAGGCCTCGAAGCTTTGCTTCTCACTTGATTGCACATCATTTGACAGCTGTCCTATGAGAAGCAAAGCAGCAGATCAATCTATTTATAACCTAGATTTGTCAATGTCCATGGAGGGTGTCTCCTGTACTTTGACAGGATACAGCTTCTAGTTTGACAGGAGACATTGTCTTGCTCTTTGATGAGGAATAGCTGTGCATTTGGGATGGCTGGAGTTGTGGAAATGCTACCAACTCCTGCAGGGAAAATACACACACACACATTTGGCGGGGGGAAAGAAAGGTGGCAAGCCAGCTACTCCAATGTGCAGCTTGGACAATTTCGGGAAAAAGGGGAGGGGATCAAAGGGATACAAGTCACAGCAACTGTAAAAGGGGCTGTGGTGAGTGTGGAGAGAAAAGGTCCAGCCGCAGAGTATCCTCAGACATCTGCAGGAGGACTGAAAGGGAAGGAGTGGGGGGCAACCCACAGTAAGCTCAGACTTCTGTGGTTCAACCCATATTGCATAGGACTTTTTGCAGGGTCGGTTGTCATGTCCCCACATGACCATTATCTTCCATTTGCAACCCTCCTGTATTTTCCCATGACTCTTTCCGTCTTTTTCCTTACTGAGGAAAATCCATTAAAGATGGAAGTCATTGGTCCAGTTGTATCCATAAATTTCTACACTCAGGCATGCTTTAAAAGTGTGGACTGGACCTTATATGAAAAACTTGGCTGCCTTTTTAGTGGCAAAGTGGGATAGCCATTTAATTAACTCATGTCGTGGCATCTGTATAAGAAACAAGTTGCAGCCCTATTTACATGGGAGTTCGTCTTATAGAATTCAATGGGGTTTGCTTAAGAATAATTCATAGGACTGCACTGTTCATCTGCCACTGAGTAAATTCACACTTTGTGGGTGCACGTGTGCTTTGTTCGAAAAGAGGCCTACAACTCGCAGTGTGTCCCACCAAGCCGTGATTGCGCCTTCCTTTGTTTAGAGCATTTCTGTTGTAGTATTTGCTAAAGCAACTTTCATGACAACAAACAGAAAATGTTAAAATATCTTATTTTAAGCAAATGCATCCACAAATACCAAATAAAACACTACTAAGAGGATCACCTTGTCGCATATGTCCCTACCTAGACACTGAGGTCATCTTCGGGGTGCTTCTCTGGGAGCAACTTCTAAAGGAAGTGAGGTGGTAGCTACCAGAAGGAGGGCCTTTTTGGTTGTTGTGTCCTAGTTGTGGAATGAGCTCCCCAAAGAGGTGTGCCTGGCACCTAGCAGGTGAAGATTTTTTTATTATCCCAGCATTTTAACAGTTTTTTTACTTTATTTTTATTTGTGTTTTATTCGGTACAGCTGCTATGCTTCTGTCCTGATTCAACTGCAGTTGCTATTGTGGTTTTAATTTGTGTGTGTGTGCATTTAACTTTCTTTCACAGTGCAGAAAGCCTCATCTATTGTGTGGTCTTAAATGAAATTAATAAATATGAGGAAGCCAACAATAAAGCCACAAATGAGCAATAACCTGATAAAGCAGCTAAAACATATAATCCCCTAGGGAAAAGAGAGCTAATGAAGTTGGTGCCATCCTGGGCTGGCTCCAGAACTGAGGGGTCATGGTCAACGTGTCACATGGTGTCCCTGGGCCTTGGATGGAACCCCTAAGTCATGTTGGACAGCGGTGTCTAAGCACCCATTTAATTTCCTGCAGCATCCCCACCAAATGACATCGTGTCAGGGGCACTGTCAGAAATTCACATGGGAGCTAGATGCACTGCTCAGAATGCTGGTCCAGAAAAGAGAGAGGAAAAAAGAACAGGGGCGCCAGGGTGGGCATCCTGGTGGGCTCAGGGATTTTAGGTGCTGATGCCATTCCTGGAACCGGCTGGGTGTCCTTGGAAAGAGCATTCCACCATGGAAAAGTCCCAGTTTTCAATCAGGGCTCACCTAGCTGTGGGCTTCTGGAGGAAGCGCTCTTATGAAATTCTTAACACGTGGTCAGAAACGCAAACGGGAACAGAAAGCAGTGGCGCAGGCCCTCATACCCACTGTGGGGGCCCCCTTGGCTACTATTCTTAGGAGAATAGCGAAGGTGGTATTTTGCCAAAACAGGGAAGGGTCAGGAGCTTCTGGATTTCGACCAGCACTCCCTGTCCTTGCCCCTGCATTTTAAGCCAATATGATAGGTGGCCTTTCAGCTGTTCTGTGCTGTATGGCTTGATCTTTGTAAGATGTATCTTCATGACGTTAATATTTAACTAGGGTTTTGCAGTGCTATCAGTTACTCCCCCCTTCTTCTGATTCATTCAGGCTTCTGATATTTGCTCCTGCCATCCATTGCCCCTCCCCCAGCTGCTGTCACCGAAATGAAATAAACTCTCTTCCTATTAATCCCATTTTGCAGGATTAGTGAATGTCAGTTCCCCCATCTGCAAGTTGGTATTTTCCCAGCATTTGCAGTCCCTGCACAATACCGAGAGGTTGAAAGCTTCTTGTCAGGCTGCAAGCGCTCTGTCCGAAAGCGTATGGGTGGACCTGGTGCCTCGGCTCCAACCCTGTTGCCTGCAGCCCTGCCGGCACCGAAATTCAGCGCCTGAAAGCCTTGCCAAAACTGACATTGGTCCTTGGGTTAAAAAAGGTTCACTAGCCCTACTGATCGCCCACCAGTAAATCTTACTGTTACCAACTTTTTCCTTGACGGAATGCCTGTGCCTTCAACCACCTCCATGGCGGAAGAAAGCAGATGGGTGTTTTTGCTCCCTGTGTGGAAGCCCAGCACTGGGGAAAGGCAGCCGGGGCAGGGGGACCTGCGTCCTTTTCTTCCAGCCGTTCTCCCTGCCTTGCACGTGTCTTCCTTCAGTCCTAATGAGCAGTCTGTGTGATGGGAAATTCCGCGCCTCCTCTCCCACCACGATTTCCAGCTCCTCTGCTGCATCCCTCATGGCAGCTCTGCACAGGTGGAATTGCTTCCTCCGACGGTGGCCTGCAGAATCTGGGAGGCGATCAGTGGGACTTCGCGTCGCTTTGGCTTTTAAATCCCCCGCCAGCTGGCTCCCCCTCCTGGCCACACATTTAAATGCAGGGGATGGATCTTAACGCTGTTCTAAGCGTCGGCAACAGACTTAAGTGCGTGGGGGGCTCCCAGTCCACTGCCTGCTTGCTTTGCTGTCCGTTCTGGCCACAACCGTTTGGCTCTCAGGAACTGCCTACATCTCAGAATCCAAACGGTAAAGGCACACACGGAACAGGTTCTCGCATCACGATAACCCTCCCTAGCAGTGCCACACAGTGGGTCGGTTGTTATGTGAAGAGACGACGCTGAGACTGACAGAGAATCGGGCTCACCATGGTTTATTCATGCCCTCCGCTTCCCCCTTCGTCCTCCTGGCAGAGTCCCAGGAGACACTGCAGTATGACAGAGGGCTCCCCACGGCTCTCATGCGTTTTAACCTTTCTTTCCCTGAGGATTGCAAAAGGAGGCTGGCTGGGCAGCCCCTTTTCCCGACTGCCGTTTAGCAGCAACTGACAGACCCCTCGGAGTGCAGAAGCAGGGAGGGTGCCCATGGTGGGCTGCAGGTGCTCAGGCACTCGGAAGCAAAAGTGCGTCCCCATGCCTTTTTCTGGGGAAAAGGCATTTCGACGGACAGCTGTCAAAAGTCAGGATCCCTTTTAAAAGGGAGATTTTGATGGGGCAAATGAAGGCTTTGCCTAGGACATACGGCCCCTCAAGGCCCCCTGTGACAGCCAGCTGACACAATTCTTTTTCCCCAGGAAAAAGCGGGGAATGTACCTTTGCATGGTCCTGAGTACTCCGGGGAAAGTGTAAAGTGGCCATCCCCCTGAGGATTATTGTGGGGGGAAAGATTTGGCCATGAAGGAGGTACAAATCCCACCACCTCTTTTTTGTGAGTAAAAATCACTTGTCCATCTTTTGATAGCCAAAGCAAAGTATGGGAGAGGAGCCTCTTTGAGCCCTCTTTGGGACAGTGACCAGGGTTGATGTATGCTGCATTTTGCCAGCAGGCATCCCCCCACCCTCAAAAAAAAAGAAAGAAAGAAAGAAAGAAAGAAAGAAAAGAGAAGAGAAGAGAAGAGAAGAGAAGAGAAGAGAAGAGAAGAGAAGAGAAAAGAAATCTGCAGTTGGGGCTCCGAGTTTTGCTACTCAAAGAAGTGTAGTTGAGCATGGTTGCACAACTGTGGCTAAAAATTAGATTTTTTTTTTCACAAATATGAGTGAAACTTAGGGGTGGGAATTGAAAAATTGTTTCCCAGCAACTTGAACACTTTAAAAGGGGTGTTAGTGGCTGTGAAAATGGGGATTCTGAAGGGGGCATCCCCCCTCCACAAAAAAGTGTTTTAAATGCAAAAGGGGTTGGCCAGCCAGCCCTGTGGCAAGCTTGGGCAACTGTGGGATGGCCAGCACTGGTGGTGGCCCAAGCAAGCTTGGGAAGAGTGGCAAAAAGTTTTTGCTGCTTTTTCTGAGCGCCTTGGTGACCAGTGAGCATCACCCACGGGGGGAATGATTGTGTGGGTTTGGATGATGTGACAACCTCCCATGGGTAAAACAACCTGTAGAATAGCCCATGGGTTCTCAGGACTGCTTATTTAAAACGCACACACCACTGTGGGTAACTCAGGCTGGTTCAGATTCCAGAGCAACCCATCATGGCTCACACCGCCCATGGTGGGTTCTTGTGTCAAGAAAACCAGGTTGCTGTGAAATTACAACTTAGGATGAATTGAATCATCAATGTGTTTATTGCATAGCTGTTACCTTCGCAATACACACACTTGGGAATCTAATGAGTGTGAATGTGTTATCATATCAATGGTAAAGATGATTGGTCCAAAGAAATTTTATTTTGTTCACACGATCTATAGCCTAAGACAAAGAAAATATAGCCTTAGAGTAGCATTGAGTGACTGAGCTGAATTAAAGCAATTAGGTGTACCATAGTCCCTTCTGTTCATTTCTCAGAAGAAAGACCCAAGACTTTTGTAGAGAATAACTCCCAAGTAAGTGCATAGAATTGCAACTGCATTCTGATCAGAGAGCTAATTCTGTTTTAAGAGGATTTTAAAGGTATCGATATAATGTTTAAAGGAAGTGGAACCTCTGGCCTGCAAATCTGATCTGGCTTGAGGCTGTTCTGCATCCAGTCCTCAGAGTCTCCTTGGATTCCTCCAGGCCTTGGCCTCCATCAGCAGGGGATCCCTGCTCTTATTTCAGATCACAGAGAACAGCAGGGATGTGGACTGTGAGGACCTCAGACCAGTCCGGTTGGCACTGGGAGGAGTGGCTGCTCTTCCCAGCGCTTGCTGAGCTCTTGTGTGTCTCTCCTCCATCCCAATGGGGAGGGCTAGAGAAGCACAAAGGGGGTAGCAAAGCTGGCCAGTGCTGGAAGGAACCACTCCTCCCAGCCACAAATAACATGCCTGAGGCTCTGCACCCCTGTGATAGGGGAGAACAAGGTGGCTGTGGAGACCCACTGAACCCAAGATGAGGCTTAGGGCCAGGAAATTGGGTTCATAGGAGCTTAGGACAGGAGGGGGAGCTAGCCAGGTTTTGACTGTGGGGCCGTCTCATGTCAGGCAGTTAGTAAATCTGACTGAGTTCACTACCTTATACCCAGGCAAGGGGGTATACACATACACTTTAATGCTGCATTATGTTTACATAGACATTGCTTCTACTGTTCTTGCTCCCAAAAAAGTGCAGGTGTGATTCTGAGCAATTCTATTTCTACACACACACATCCACAATTTACATTATGTTTATTTGTAGATATTTAATTATGCTCACATTAATAATTAAGGCAAATGACAGCACTGTAGCCATATTCTGTGCCAGTTTAGCCAGAGCAAGGGTCCTCAACCTTTTTCAACAGGGGACCAATTGAAAGGTGCCGGTGGTGGGCGGCAAGGCAGTGCCAGCGGGGGTCACGGGCCAGTGAGGGGGCGGGGGCGGGGGTGGTGGGCGCGCATGTGGTGAGGCAGTGGTGGGCATGCGCTGCGAGGCAGTGGCTTGCTCACATGGAGATTGTTTTCTCCAAGCAAGTCCACAAGGATCTCCGCGCAAGCAAGCTGCTACGTTGCTGCACACGCGGGC